GGCCCTGGGCCACACAAATGAATAATTGCACACAAATAAAAGGACCCCCCCATATTTCCGCATATTTCTTGGATGTTCGTCTTCCCCCCCACTTCCCATATCTTCGCATATTTTCCTAGGAATCGACGATGAATTGTGTCTGTTTTTCCCCCTCCTAATTCTCACGCGCTTAGTGGCCCCACAATGAGCTCCACAGAAAGCCCCCGTGGCGGCGTTCGCATGGGGGCATAGCACGCCTGTTTCGGCACACACACACACACAGACACACACCGCTTCGCGGTCCCCTTGGGGGCCCCCAGGGATGTCTAGAGGAACAAAGACGGCGTGGACATAGTTTCTGGGAGCTCCGCGCGGATTTCTTGGATCGGCGCTGGACCCCCTCCGCGCGGATCGCGCCCGGGGCGGCGCCGGAGGCGCCGCCAGGGGGCCTCGACGCCGAGCCAAGAGATCCGCGCGGACCTCAGAGAAGTCACAGTTATGCCGTTCTGCGTTCTTCGAATACGCATCGGGCCGCCGTCGACGATCAATGGGCGTTTGGGGGTCGATGCACCTTGGCAGTGGTCGGGGGGTCTGAGCCGGTTGGGCGCGGAGAAGATCGGTCAAGAAAGAGGGGGAAGGAAGGCAAAGAGAGCAAATCCGTTCAAAATCGGTCCCTGGACCCCTCCGAAAGTCCAACTGGTGCGGGTCTTCATCCTGGGCCCGTTCTTGACGGTCCCGGGGCCTGAACCAGCCTCCGAGGACAGAAAATTTCAAAAACCTTATCCAGCCCAGAAACTCAAACCTCGCCCACACTTCCTGCTGGCTGGAAACGGTGCTCGGACCACCTCAGACCCCCAGCCGACTCCAAGATACAATCCCCCCTGAGCCTACCCCCCCAAGCGCTGCCCCTGATGAGGACAACCTTCGGCGCTCGGAGCGGACGGGATTACGCGCAGACTGCGCACCGAGCGGCGAGCAAAACTGCTGGAAGACAACAGAAGAAGACAGAACGGCATACACTAAAATGTTTGGAGCTCAGCGCGGATTTCTTGGATCTGCGCCGGATCCCCTCCCTGGTGCGCGGAGCGCGCCTGGAGCGGCGCCGGAGGCGCCGACGGGGGGAGCCCAGCGTGGATCCAAGAAATCCGCGCGGAGCGACAAAAGTTTATGTCTATGACGCTCTCTTCTTCTTCGAGACAAAGAAAAAGCGCACCTCTGCCGACCAGTGCCGCGCACAGAGGGCCATGGAAGGAGCCAGAGATCGCACAGGAAAGGGCCCCAAGGCGGCCTCATTCAAGATAGCTCAGACTGCGCCGAGAGGGCCCCGCGAGTCGACAAAGAAACAACGTCATACAGTGGAGGCCAGTCCACAAGAAACCTTCCACAAGAAACCCAACCCTGAGACGCCAGAACGTCCGTGGATTTCTGGTGTGGGAAGGTCGCGCCTTCCATCGCAGAGTCATCGGAACCCAAGAAACCCAGGGCACCCTGGAGGCAAGCAGGGTTTTTCTTGGCATGGGCTTCCACTGTAAGCATAAACTTTCGGAGGTCCGTGCGGATTTCTTGGATGGTCGGCGCTGGACCTCCCTGGCGGCGCCTCTGGCGCCGCCACTGGCGCGCCCCGCGCGCCAGGGAGGGGGGTCCAGCGCAGACCCAAACCCATGCGAATCTTCGAAAGTGAATCTTCATGTAGTGCCTTTTCTTCCTCGACATACGACAGGTTCATGTCGTGTCGACGTCAGCGATGCCTTCACACACCGTCTGGATCGTTCGACCCTGAACGATGGGGGCTCTCCGATAGCGCGGATTCTTCGGGGCTCTCCGCTAGCGCGGACCCCTGGCGCCGTTCAACCTTGCAACGCCCGCGTCGGGGTCGCCGCCGCGTCGACACGGCACGGACCTAACGAATTACCGTGCCGCGAGCCTCCCCCCTCCCTTCGGGAGCGGCCAAGAGGGTGGCGTCCAAGAGGGGTGGGGGGGGGGGGGGCACAAATCGTGGCCGGCGGCATCTGCGCGGCCCGGGAGTGGCGGGGGGGGGCCAGGGACGTGGTGAAAAAAAAGAGGCGCCATGAAATCTGGGGACATGGCATGGCCCACGCCCTGACATCCCCCCCCCCTGGTCATCACCCCCCTCTTGGCCGCCCCCGATCCCCCGTCGGCCCTGCCTGCCCCCAAGCACCGGCCGGGCACCCTGCTGCACCGCTGTACGCGGAGAAGGGGCAGCCCTGCGGCCGCCCCCGTGTGCAGCCATTCGCGTGCCGCCGCGCGGTCTCGGAAGCGGAGACGGGGAGCGGGGAAGGACGGAGGCACCACGGCACCCTCGAGGCGTGCAAACACCACGGCGGGAGCCATCGTCGGCCCCTGGGGGGCCCTCACCGGGCCTCGGGGCCGTCAGAAAACTACCTGGGATGAAAAACTGGTCCCGGGGAGTGGGCCCGGACCTCATGGGGGTCGCGTCCAGGAAAAATCATGGCGTCGGGGGTCTGGGCACGGTGGTCACCTGGCAGCCGGGTGAGGAGCCTGCGCGCCCCCGAGGCAGCCGAAGGGCAGCACGGGTCGATCGGCCAAGCGGGAAGGCCCACGCCTGACAGCACGCACGCCTGGACCGCTCACTCCGCCACCTCATCCGCTATGATGACCTCCGTCGTGGTCATCAGCGACGCCACGGAGGCGGCGTCCGCCAGAGCGGTGCGCACGACCTTCGTCGGGTCGATGATGCCCGCCTTCACCATGTCCACGAACTCGCCCGTGGCGGCGTTGAACCCCAGAGAGCGGCCCTCCGACTTCAGCAGGGTCTGCACCACAACTCCCGCTTCTGCACCCGCGTTCTGCTCGAGGAACAAAACACCGGCACAGATATAAACTTTCGGAGCTCCGCGCGGAGATCCTGGATGGGCGCTGGACCCCGCGGGGCGTGCCGGGGGCGCGCGCCGAAGGCGCGCCCCGCTCCCAGGGGGCTCCAGCGCCGATCCAAGAGCTCCGCGCGGAGCTCCGAAAATTTGTGTTCGTACCGGGCTGCGCCCCTCGATCTGCGCGATCTGCATGCACGGCTGCTTCAGCGCGGTCCGGATCGCGTCGACGCCCACCTGCTGGTCCAGGCTGTCGAGCTTCAGGGCCTCCAGCTGCCGCGACGCGTACAGCAGCGCCGTGCCGCCGCCAGGCACGATGCCCTCCTCCAGCGCCGCCCTCGTCGCGTTGAGCGCGTCGTTGAGGCGGTCCTTGATCTCGTTCACCTCGACCTCGCTGGCCCCGCCCACTTTGATGACCGCGACGCCACCGCTGAGCTTGGCCAGCCGCTCCTTCATCTTGTCCTTCTCGTACTCCGACGTCGAGGCCTCGATGGCGGCGCGGATGGCGTCGCAGCGCTCCTCGATCGCAGCCGTGCCCCCAGAGCCGTCGAGCAGCACGGTGTCGTCCTTGCTGATCGTGGCCGTCTTGACCGAGCCGAGCTGCTCGAGCTTCGTGTCCTCCAGCTTGCCGCCGGTCTCCTTTGGGAAACCAAAAAGGTACGGATACCGCTACTCCCTGGACCTCCCCCCGGGGTGCGTTCTGGCCAGGACTTCGAGGGGAATCCAGCGGTGGCGACGAGGGTCGCCCAGGAGGCCCAAAAAGGCGAAAACGAGGCAAGGGTAGCGGTATGGGCACCTTTCTCTCCCTGACTCCTCGGAGATGAGGTCCGCGCCAGTGAGGACCGCCAGGTCCTGCAGTATGGCCTTGCGGTTGTCGCCGAAGCCAGGGGCCTTGACAGCCGCGACCTGGACGGCGGAAAAAAGGGTTCTACATGAGATGGTACAGCAACCTTACGCGGCGGCTTGCGCTGGCCGCTGGCGCGGCACGCTGGATTGGAAACGAGGGCACTTACGCGCGACCTTACGCGGGCAGCTTGCGCGCGAACGTCGGAACAACCGACCCCGTTTCCGTGCGTCTCCCACCTGCAGCCCACCCCGCAGCTTATTCACGATCAGCACGGCGAGCGCCTCTCCGTCCACGTCCTCGGCACAGATGAGCAGCGGCTTCTGCAGCTTCGCCACCTGCTCCAGGATAGGGAGGATGGACTGGACAGAGGAGATCTTCTTCTCGTAAAGCAGCACCAGCGGGTTCTCGAGCTCGACCTTCTGCGCCTTCGCATTGGTGACGAAGTAGGGTGAGATGTAGCCCCGGTCGAGCTTCATACCCTCGACGAGTTCCAGCTCGTTCTCCATGGTCTTGCCGTCCGAGACTGTGATGGTGCCGTCCCTCCCGACCTTCTCGAAGGCATCGCAGATCATCCCTCCGATGCCCTTGTCGCCGTTCGCAGCGATGGTCGCCACGCTCTTGATGCTGGCTGGCTCGCGGATGGTGGTGGAGTGCGCGGCCAGATCGTCGAGCACCGTCTTCACCGCGGCGTCCATCCCGCGCTTAATGTCCATGGGGTTCATGCCTGCCGCAACCGCCTTGCACCCTTCTCGGAAGATGGCCCTCGCCAAGACTGTGGCCGTGGTGGTGCCGTCCCCAGCAACATCGTTGGTCTTGCTGGCCACAGTCTTGACCAACTGGGCCCCGACGTTCACCATGGGCGTGGCCTTCAGCTCGATGGCCTTCGCGACGGTCACGCCGTCCTTCGTGACCTTGGGCGCCCCGTAAGACTGCTCGATGACCACGTTTCTGCCCTTGGGGCCCATCGTGACCGCCACGGCATCTGCGAGGCGATTGCAGCCCTCGAGCATCATGGCCCGCGCCTCGCTGCCGTGGCGGATGTCCTTCGCCGAGGCGAAGCCCCTGACGGCCACGGGGGCCAGCGGCAGGGCGCGGTGCACGCAGCCCGACATCGGAGACCGCAGCGTAGACAACATGGCTGACCGTCCGCAGCCCGCTACGCGGAGTCGACGCGCGCTGCTGGATGCCGAAGAGCGCAGCGGAGCAGGCAGAGGGTGCCAGGGGGAAAAAACGACTTGAGCCAAAAACGGCTGGCGGACCGAACGGTGGAGGAGGGGGCGGCAGCGATCAAGAAAGAAGAAACACCGCTACAGTTAAGTAAGGCGTGTCCCTCTACAGGAGGAAAATGCAAAAATGGCCAAAACACGATGTGGGGACGATGCTTCTACTATTTTTGGCCCTTTGCAAATATTCGTGACTGCTTGATCTTCGCCAAAAAATCCGCCTGCAGGGGGACATGCCCGACCTAACGCTACAGCGTGGTTCTCCGCGGGCGGCCGGGGCCGTCTCCCCACCCTGCACTGGCCGGACTCCACCGGCGCCGGGCGCCCCGCGCAGGGGGGCGCTGATCCCGCTGGCCCCGAGCGCGGCGGGGCCCAGCCCAGCGCGGCACGGGAGAGGGGGCTCCGAGCCGACCCCGCCCAGCGGGCCCTCTGGTCCTCACTGGTACTGGCCTGGACTTGTGGGAGCAATGGCACCGGACACCCTGACAATCCTACCGTTGAAACAAACATGTGCGTTAAACTGTCTGAACATGTTCTGACAATGTTCAACACATGTGTTGTACACGTTTCGAAGGCCCGCGCGGGCTACTTGAGCTATCGCTGGACTCCCCTCCCTGGCGCACGGAGCTCGCCAGGGGCGCGCAGAAAGCGCCGCCAGGGAGCCCAGCGCAGGTCCAAGAAGTCCGCGCGAATCTCTTCCAAAGTGCAACAGTGGATGCACCATGTGTTGTCCTCGTCGAGAACAGCAGGAGGTCTCCTGCCCGATCCAGAGAAGCAGCATCTGGAGGAGGAGGAGCAGGAGGAGGCTGAGGAGGAGGAGGAGGGGGAGGTGGAGGAGGAGGCGAAGGCGAAGGCGGAGGAGGAGGAAGAGGAGGGGTAGGAGGAGGGGTAAGGAGGGAGGAGGAGGAGGAGGAGGAGGAGGAGGAGGAGATGGAGGAGGAGGAGGAGGAGGAGGAGGAGGAGGCAAATCAGAACGGGAACCAGGCACGCGCTGACGTGGACTACCGAGCCGTGGGTCCCGCGCGCGGTCGCGCCGGTGGAAGCCGGTGCGCTGATGTTTCGTGGCGTGGGAGCGGGGCCCGCCCCCAAGCCACGCGCCTTGATCCATCTGCTTGCGCCTCATCGGGAGAAGGGAGGGGGGAAAGAGGACGAAGGTGCAGAAGAGAGGGGGAGGAGAGGGGAGGGGAGGGGGAGGAGGCACCAGAGAGGGAGGAGGGGAGAGAGAGAAGGGAGGGAGGGGGGGCCAGCTCCACGCGAACACGCGTTTTGAAGATTTGGGGGTCCCCGCGGAGCCCCGCAGGGGTCCCGCAGAGGCCGCGGGTAGCCCCCGAAGGCCTCAGGAGGGATCGCCGCGGTGGTTGCTGAGTTGGGCTAAGGGTTTCGAGCAGGGACCGACCGCCCCAGTCTTCCCATAGGCCTGCCACCAACTCTTAAAGAACCAAAGGAAGTTCTAGGAACCCAGACAATGTTCTCAGGACGTACAGCCGATGTGTCAACACGAGACGGTCTCAGCCAGAAGCGTTCTAAGAAAATGTTGTGCAAACCACAAGAGTTCATCAGAACAGTACTTGGTGCAGGCCAGGACGCTTCGCCACTGCTTGAAAGGTGGGCTATATCTGAGCTAACCTAGCTTACAAATGGGTCGGAGCCTTAAAAGGCTTAAGGGGATCGCTAACTCCGCTAAGTGGGCGGTGCCCACTTAGCCGAGATCCTTACCCCCCCCTTAAGCCACTCAACGCACCTCTGACCAACTTGTGAACAAAGGTCGGCCAAACGTAACCCACCCTAGTGTCCACTTGGCGGGTTCTGGAAACCCTGAGCCCAAAAATGCTGCCATCTCTTGGGTCCGCATCGCTTACTTCCGCCGGCCTTCCGCCGGCGGAGGCGGCCTCGTTCCACGTCCGCCAGCTTCTGCTGGCCTTCCGCCGAGAAGATATCAGCCCCTGCGACCTTTGAAGGCGAGGCCGTGTCTGAAGCGCCCCCACTCATAAGCCAACCGGATCCCCCTGCACCAGCCATCGATGTGAGCCAAGTAGCGTTGCCCCCAAGTCGCCCCCAAGGGGCCCACGAGGCGCCTCCACCCAAAGGCCCCCAAGAGGCCCCCACGGGGGCCATCGAGAGGCCCCCCCCCCACAGGGGCCCATCGAGAGGCTCCGAAGAGCCGCCCACATGCCCCCGAGGGCCCGAATGCCCTCCAAGATGCCCAGCCCGGGGTGTCGGCGGAATGGCGCCCGCCACTCGGATCAATCCCCCTCTCCCCGTGGGACCCCCCGCGGTGAGCCGCCCAAGTAGCGTTGCCCACCTCGCCAGAGCAGAGCACACCTGCGTTGTTCCGAATACAAATTCGCCCGGCTTGGAGCCGCCGTGGCCGCCCTCGTCCAGCGAGAACGGGAACGGGCGAGATGGTGAGCGCGAATCGTCTTGAATGAGCCCACCTGTCCCGATGCGGGACTCCTGGTGGCTGCCTTCAGGGCCTTCCAGAGCGTCTGAAGAGGCCCCCAAGGCGGTCTAAGGGGGCCTAGCGTCACCGAAGTCGTTGATGCCCAGGATAGCCTGAAGACGGCTTCAACCGCCTCCAAGACGCACGAAGATGCCTCCAAGACCACTCCCAAGAAGCCCCCCAGAGGCAAACATCAACGATTTTCCATTGGTTGCTGAAGGTTTTTAGCGTTCTCACCTTTTCGGCCGCCGACACTCTAAGACAGCCCAAGAAGCCCTTAAGATCGCTCCAAGACGGCCCAGTAAGCCTCCAAGAGAGCCCCAAAACGGCCCACGGGGACTCCAAGACGGCCCAAGATCATCCCAAGACGGCGCTGGAGAGCCCCAAGACACCTTCAGGAAGACCCATCGAGGGGGAGCCCCAACGCATTTCGAGCGCTCGGCCCCAAGAGGCGTCCAGGCTTCCCCAAGCGGCCGCCAAGAGCCCTCCAATAGGTTCCAAGAGGCCCGCAAAGGGCGCCAAGAGAGCCCCAACAGGCATCCCCGATGCGCCCCCAGCAGGCCCCCAAGAGCCCCATAAAACTGCTACACTTGAGCCCCCCGAAAATCCTCAGAAGAGACACCAAGACGCATCCATGAGGACTCTCATCCACAACCGCAGCAGCGCCGACCAGCAGCGCCGCATGGCCCACGAACGCGCACGCAAACGATAACGATGGTACAATACTGGACGGCGGAATGAGCGAAGCGATGCCCATTGGCAACCTCCGCGGTGAGCCAAGTGAGCGACGGAAAAGAACCGTCCGCACGCGAGATGGCACAGCGACCTTACGCGGTGGCTTATGCGGCCCGCCGGCTGGCGGCACGCTGCATTGTCAATAAGGGCGTTTGCGCGCGACCTTACACGGGCAGCTTACGGGCCAACGTCGGTGAAACCGACCCCTTTATTTTCTGGAGGAAGAGAAAACGGCGTAAACATAAACTTGTGGCGCTCCGCGCGGATTTCTTGGATCCGCGCCCGACCCCCCCGTCTGGCGCGCGGAGCGCGCCAGGGGCGGCGCCAGAGGCGCCGCCAGGGGGCCCCAGCGCGGGTCCAAGAAATCCTGCCCTGCCCTGCGTGCGGGGACGCAGGGACTTGGTGCTCGTGCCCACACGGCTTCAGAGGAGGGGGAGGAGGAGGTGGAGGAGGTGGAGGAGGAGGAGGAGGAGGAGGAGGAGGAGGAGAAGAGGAGAAGGACGAGGAGGAGGAGGAGGAGGAGGAGAAGCCACGTGCGATTCGAAGCCAGCTGGCTCCACGGCCACCACCTCTGGGCCACTGGGGGGCGACGGCCCGCGGGGATGGTGTGCGAGAGGAGACGCCCAGCACGACGATGACTTGGGCGCGCGCTGAGATGCATCACGGATCCGTGGACCCAGACCCCCTCGAATCATGAAAAAATCACGACGGGAGGTCTTTCGCTATTTTCGGCCCCTGGGGACCCTCACCGGCCCTCGGGACCGTCAACAAAACGACTCAGGATGAAAAGCCGGCCTTGGGGAAAGGGTCCAGACCTCTTGGGGTCGCGTCGTGCAAAAATCGTGCCGTCGGGGGGTCTGGGGCTCGGGCGCGAGGGTGCAACAAAAACATGTCGGTGTGGCAGGCCGCCGTGGAGAGTCCGTCCTGCGTGCTGCTGGTGCACAGCCAGGCTGTCGGCCAGAAGCGAAGGGAGCAACACGCGGACGGACTCGCGACGGGTGGCGTGTGCTTGATGCTCCGTTGCCCCTCCTGGCTAACGCACGGGCGCCACGACAACGGAGGGCGTCGAGAGTTGTCACGGAAACGGCACCCGTCGCTAATCCACGCGCCTTCGCCCATGATGCTCCTTCCTCGAAGTCTGGACGGTCCTCTCCTTCCTCCATCCCCCTCCACTTCTGGCGTTGTGTGCATCAACTTTTGCGGCAGGCTGGTGGTCTCCGCTCAATGCAGCTGCGCGACCTTCGAGGCGCGCTGGATGCAACGCTATGCGAGTACGGTCAACAACTTTTTGCTCAGCGTGTCGCGGCGGTGGCCCGGGCGAGATGCTTTGCCCTGCGAGCTGATAGAGTGCCGCTCCCTTCGCGGGCCGGGAGGCCAAAAGGAGCTCGGGAACGTCGATGCTTGGTTGTGGCGGGACGCGGCTCGCGTGTCGCGCCGAAGCGTGGCGCACCGGAACTGACGGCGCGACACGCTGAGCTGAAGTTCCTGGCCGTGCCACCTGTTCCGAGGAAGAAAAAACAGCATACACAGAGACTTTGAAGGTCCGCGCGGATTTCTGGGATCTGCGCTGGATCCACTTCCCGGCGCGCGGAGCGCGACAGGGGAGGCGCCGGAGGCGCCGCCTGGGGGGCCCAGCGCAGATCCAACAAATCCGCGCGGAGCGCCAAAAGTGTACCGTGTTTTTCTTCTGCGAGACACACGAAGCCAAAGTTCCTGACCGTGCCACCTGTTGGCAGACGGGGGGGCAAAAGTATTGCAAAATGGCTGCACATGTTAGGTCGGGCATGTCCTCCTCCTGCAGGCGGCTGTTGGAAGCAGAAGAACAAATAGCCAAACACATGCTCAAGCGTAGTCCAAAAAGGAGGAAAAGGATAGTCGAGCCATCGTCCCCGAGGCCATGTTTGGACTGTTCTTGAACTCTCCCCCT